GCATCATCAATGTTCATACCTTTTTCTGACCTGTACCTCTTCCCGCCTCTCAAGCAACCCAGTCAGCACCCCCCTTCCCTTTTTAATTACTCAGAACTCTTCTCTACAGGAATGAAGACCATCCTCAGAAAGCCATACATAAAACCAATTTCAAATGGACTTTAATTTTTTTTTTCTGCCCAAATACTGTACATGCAGAAGCCATGTGAAGAATTTTCTCCTCAGGGGGATTGGCAAAGACATCACATGAGACAGCCGGTATTCCCTCCCAGCTGTCCACCTGCCACCCAGGAGCCACGGTTTGGAAAGATGCTGCAGAGAGCTCGAATATAAAAGGCTAATTGCTTCTTATCTAAACAGTGTGCTTGTCAGTCCCTAACAGCCCTCGCTCTCTTCGCAGGATGCATTTGGAAATTCTAAAAAAGGGGTTCCTGCCTTCTGTGAGTTCTCATTGCTACAGGAGTCGCTAGAAGTCTCAGGTCTGCTTTCCCTGAGGAAGCAGAGACTTTTTGCCTTCTGAGAGAAAGTTTGGGAGAAGAAACTTGGGAAGAAGTGGTTTTAAAAAGCCAAATACTTGGAAGGATATTCCCTCTTTCATCCCATCAGAGAGAATTCCTTTAAAAGGCTCCGAGTGTCCGCTCTTCTTGGACTGTCATCAAGAAGCAGAATGACCGATGGCCCAGTCTGTCTGCTGGGGGACATGGACCTACTCAGGATTCAGCCAAGGTGGTGACATTATGGCACCTTGGAAACTATCCACAGTAGACAACCCTTAGTTCTCACCAAGACCAGAGAGAGTGGTAGGAGGAGGGCAAACCACAAAGAGGTGAAGCCACATCTGGGCTTTTCAGGAGCAGCATCTGGGCATGGACCAAATGAGGACAGGCTCCCAGCGTGAGAACCAAGGGGGATGAAACTGGCCCCTCACCACCTCAGCAACTCCAAGCCATAGACTTACAAAGCCTGGAGGGGCCCTGGAACAACCAGTGAATGATCTGGTTTTTACAGATGAGAACACTGAAGCCCAGTAAGATATCTCACACAAGGTCACAGTTTCTGGCAAAAAAGAAAGAAGAAGAAGAAGAAGAAGAAGAAGAAGAAGAAGAAGAAGAAGAAGAAGAAGAAGAAGAAGAAGAAGAGGAGGAGGAAGAAGAAGAGGAGAACAGCCATCCCTATCCAGGTCATTGGCTAATGGGGCAGATGCTCAGCTGTCCCTGGAATTCTCAGGCCCAGGGACCCTTCCTGGCATCAACGTGAACTTCCTTGCAGGCCCAAGGCCTGTCCTTGCTGGCGAGTGTCCAGCCAAAGCTGGTTTCTCCAAAGCAGCAACACCCAGGCTTTTCAAGGAGCACTTGCTAAGACAGACAGGGAGGAGACACGGTCTCTTACCTGTGCGGCCTCTCATATAGGCACAGCCATGCTGGGCCCACAGAAGCCCACACTCAGGGTTGGGGGAGGGGAGTTGCTTTGCTACATGGAAAGATTAAGCCCTTTGTCAGAGAACAAGGACCCTCCCTTGGGCACGACACCATCTGAGCTGTGTTCGTCTAGCTCCACCGACAGAGCTGCTGCCCACGGAGGCCACGTCGCTCTCTTTGGCATCACTGACATCGCTCCAAGATGCTCAGGCACTCTCCAAATGACCCTTTCCCAGCCAGGCCGGGCTGATTGGATGGGGCTCCCCTGCTCTCTGATGGTGGTTGATCTCCCTAGCCTCTTCTGAACTCTTCTGACCTGGGCTAGAAGCAGACTGGAGGGAGAAGGCAGGGAAGGAGTCTGAATTTCCATCTCCTCTCTGATCATCCTTTGGAAGATGGTACAGGAGAGGGGGTATATTCAGAAGAACGTCTGTGTGTGTCAGGACGTTAGAGACAACAATTGAGAAGTGGGAGAGAAAAGGTGGTGGCAGGAAAGCAGGCCTCTTCTTGTCCACTTCCCTGTGGCCACAACAGAAACGCTGCTGGACAAGCTTCAGGCCACCACATGAAGTACTGCATCTCCCCACCCAATGGAGAGCAACCTTGGGCAAAGGCAGCGACTTCTTTGAGTTTGCACAGTGCTAGACACAATCGAAGAAACACAGAAGAGCAGCCTTTCTAGGGCACTACTGCCTCCTAGGCCAAGGGCGATGGAGACCGTGAGGTATCAGGAGCTCTGGGCATGCCAGGGCTCCTGGAACACAGTTGAGGATTGTGCTACATTTCATTTTCAGAGAAATGCCCTGGGAGGGCTCAGGTGTCTTTAAAACAAAAACAAAAACAGAGGCTGCTGGTCTCCCCCAGGCTGGCAGTAAAGGAAGAGCTGGCATGCTTCCCTGGTTGAGGGTTGAGCCCCTGGGAAAGTTAGCTTGACCCCAGTGCTCCAGGCACCGAGTCCCCAAGGGCAGAACCATCCAGGCAGCACCACCACTGCCTCTCTGGAGCTTCCCTCGGCTCTGCCTTCATCCCATAGCGTGCTGGCATTGCCCAGGACCTGATGAAGAGGCGACGTTCAGAGCTTGGTGGGACGAGAGGCTGGATGAGAGAGCGCCTTTGGAGCCGGTTCTTCCCCAAAGGATCAAATGTCCCTGTCCAACCAAGACTTGGCCCATTTCCTAGAGAACACTTCATATCTCAGAGTCCTGTCTCTGCTTTCCTCCTAACAGGAAAGGAATCTGTTAAAAAGTGGGACAGGCTGAGTAGGGCAGAAATACAGAGACATATGCTCTGAGTCACTTATCACTGACCCTGCCCACAGCCCAGCATTGCTGCAAGGCCGCTCCTGTCCCAGCCACAGCACGATGAATCTGGCCTGCCCAGAGGAGATGGGATGACCAAATCCCACTCCTGCAACCACTGCCACCCGGAGCAAGGGGTTATGTAGGTGGCCTGTTGGTAAGGGAACTCACAAGGACCCAGTTACTTCTTGACCCAATGTCCTTTCCTCAAAGGGCAGATCGCTTCCAGCCCAGACAAGAGTCACACTTGGGCACACCTGCTTCGAGAATGGCACCTCAGAGGAGCCCCACATCCAGCGTGCTGAGAAACAGAGCTTTAAATCCAGCCTCCCTATCACATGTACACACTCGCCTTACACAACCCACATGTGTGAGCAAGCATCTAGAAGGGATTACTCAGTGTTAAAAAGAGTGAATTCCCCAAAATCAATTGGGGAAGGGGATTATCTTCCATGGGGGTGGGACAGCCAAGTGCCCATCTCTTAGGTAGTTTACAGCCTTGGACTGTAGGCAGGTCAGCATGAGTTCCCAGCACGTCAGTCCCTCCTTTGGCTAGAGTATGCCCTGTGCTGACCCTCCTAAGAGGTGAGGGACACTCTCTGTTCGAAGCTCCCACTTCTAGGAGTGACTCAACGCCACACACACAAAGGTCTGTGTTGTCAGTGGGTCACTGACACTCCTCCACTCCAAATGGCTTTCACACCATCCGGAGGGTAACTGCTTTAAAGGCGCACACACCTCAAGCAAGATGAAAATAGTCTTTTGCAAGCTAGTTTCCTCCTTGCCCCCAACCCATTAAGGCTTGGAGGCCAAGAGCACTTTGCCCCATATCTTGTAATACGGGGGATACATATATATATACTCCCCAGCCAGAAAGGTCGGCAAGAGAACTGGCCCCACATCACTCTCCTGCCTGCTGGGCACATTCTCAGCCCTGCTCATCATCCTTCTCATCCCAGTGTGCATGGGGGCTTCTTCACTGCCTTTCTTTGAAAGGGGAGTGCAGGACTCTGACTACAGGGAGGCCCTTTGGGCTGGGACGACTTTGTGCACCCCAGCTTTGGTACAAATGGGACTCACATACAGGCAAAGGCTTCTTCACAGTTACCCCCGTATCTCTGCCTAGGCACTTATGCTAGAGGCATGGGCTAGGAGAGAGGCAGAGAGTCTTCTCCATCCCCTACCCACCACCTGCCTCCTCCCTCCTACCAGACATGGACCAGGGCTGCTTTGCTTTCTCCCAGGCAGTCTCCAATTCCACCCTACAGCTAAGGAGGGGAGGAACAGATGCAGCACTCCGGAGCCAGCCTTTAGTATCCACAACAGCCATCTTGGGATCTGGCCCAGTCACCAGACCCTCCGACGGTGTTCTCAGTGGTTGAGAGGAGCCCTAGCCAGACAAGGGAAGGGGAGAGTAAAGCAGAGGCAGCTGGGATGCCTAGTGCAGGCCACTGCCTAGAGGAGCAGGGCCATACTCAGGAAGGTCAGGGAGGTGGAGGGGTGAGTATTGCTGGTACAGAGCTGGTGACAGAGGCACCCTTGAGTGCAGAGCCAGGCTGCCCACAGAGCTAGGAGGCTGGAGCCCTGGTATGTCAGAACTCCAGATGGGGTCTGGTATCTACGGATGAGCAAAGAAAGCAGAACCTGAAAGGACAGCTTCATGAAGCTAATCCCAGGTCGGACAGGATGTCTGACAGTGGCTCAAAACAAATTAACCTTAGCCCTCCTTCCTCCAGCAAGTAGCTCTACCCATGGCATTGCTTCCCAAGCCATGCTCGCTCAGGGATAACCCCAAAGGGGACAGGGCCACCCTTGATGCCTAAGAAGGCCAGCTACTTCAACAGACAACCTCCTGGGTCCACTAGGGAGCTCCTTTGGCATGTTGGAACACTCCAGGGGAAGAGAGGTCCCAGCACATCCTTTAGTGTGTCTGGCCAGCATCCTCCTCCCCAGACACGCTCTGTCTTCCTGGGACCCTGGCTAGGGCATTGAGTGAGCATGCTACATGCTGTGGAGTGCATTCAATGGGATGACCACCAGTGTGGCTTTGGTAGGGAGGAGAGATGTAGATTCCCAGATGGAACCAGGTGTGGTCAGCTGCAATGGATGCTACATTCCTCAAAAAAGCAGCAATGCTGGGAGAGGCAAAGAAAAAAACAAGACAGAAAAGCAAGTGGAGACCGTACGACAACAAGGCAGGGACTAAGCAAGACCCACCAGTGGCCGGCTCACCAGTGGCCACATCCCCTATTTCCACCCCTGGAGACTCCATGGGCAAGAAGTGTCCGAATGATGCTCCTCTGGGTTCTTTCCAGCAAGATACAGAGACGTGGACTATATAGTCCATGTGATCACCAGGACTGATTGTACACAGACAAATGGACAGATATATGGACACACACACACAAACACAAACACACACACACATACACACAGACACACACTACAGTCTCCACTGCCAGCTGGGACAAGCCCAGTGGCCAACAGGCATGCAGCAGGATAAGGGGTCCGGAAGGACATGGAGACTATGTACAGGGGTGGTGGGGCCAGCAGACTCCCATCCCCCAACATCCCCTGGCTTCTTGTCCTCATCGAGGTCCTTAGGAGCACGAGGGGCTGGTGGCACTCTCCAAAGAGGACTGAGACAGGCGCCTGGTGAGGGATCCGAGTGTGGAATCGGCCACAGAGGATGTGGGGAAGAGTTTGTACCAGCCAGTGACCACGGCACTCAGGTCCAGCTCGTCCAGCATGATCTGGGCCATACCCATGAAGCACTTGTGGTCCATACGGCCGTAGTCTCCCCAGACGATCACCTGGCAGCAGTAGGAGGAAGAGGGAGGCACTGAATCTCCAGGACTGGGCAGTGGGCCCAGGAACCTATCGGCTTCACCAGGGCACAGATGGGAGAGTCAGAATTAAAGATGATTTGGGCAGGCACTTTCTGAGTGCCTGGGACATGGCAGGCCTCCTATGGGGGCCATGCATTGTCTGAACTGCTGTAACAAGTCTTTTTTTTTTTTTTCTCCTGTGGCCCAAAAGATCTAATTAACCAATACAATGGCCCACAGTGATCTCAGGTTAGATCCTGGGTGAATCTGGTTCCGCTCTCCTCAACATCCCAGGCAGCAGTTCTCTCCAGGGCCTGGGTCACAGCTGCAGTCCTGCTGTGGGCCTTAATAAGCCCCTGGCCCGGCCCTGACTGTCTCCATCTGGAACTCAAGGAGGAAGCAATTACGTCAATGATTTTTCAAATTTGTTTTTAAAAACAGGCATCTGATGTTGGGCTTCTGCCCCAGAATCCAAGAGTTCTGCAGTTCTTTGGTTTGTAACCCCGTGGGCCCTGACAACAGAGCCATCACAGCTCAGAGGAACAGCCTGCCACAAGTAGGACTAGCAGGACTACTGAAAACATCAGAGATGGACTCCTGAAGGGGATTATGGGATTCCAGGCTCTTCCTCTGCTTCCCAAGTGCCCTTAGGTAAGCGGCTTTCTCCACAGCCCCAACTGACAGTGGACCTGAGTCTCCAAAACTCAGTCAGAATAATCTTTTCTCTTTTAAAATTAATCTCAGGTGTTTGTAACAAATAAAAAGCAAGAGAGTCTTCAGGTAAGGCAAGCCAATAGCAGCCCCAGCCTCGGTTTTAACTTAGTGAGTGGCTGCCCATGTGCAAACTCTAAAAAAGTTTTTTAAAATTTTTATGTGCATACATAAACCTGAGTGAAGGTGCCCCCAGAGGCACCTCGCCCTCCTGGAGCTGGAGCGAGAGACAGTTGTGAGCCACCTAACATGGGTAATAGACACAGTCTTCAACAAGGGTAGTTAGTACATGTCTCCTAGCCATCTCTTCTCCACACATACCACCCAAAGTGAGTGTTGAGCAGGAATTTGAACTCAGGACCGAGCCAAGAAAATCATTAGGCCTATGTGAGCTCAGGTTCATCTACAGAAGGGGCACAATGAGGCAAGCCCTTCCTTTCTCACTCATCAGGAAGACCCACCAACAGAGTTTCACTGTCAAGGAGCTGGGCTGAGAGTCACCTGAACGTGGGCTCCTCTAATCCCCTCTCTGAGGAAGACATAAATCGTTTTGGAAGTGCCTGGCCACACCCAGCCCCCAGTGAGGTAAAGAGCAGCGGTGGGAAGGTGGATACAGCCTGGTTCTGCTGCCCCGCTGTGAGAACTGGGGAGCTATTTCACCATGGGCAGTGAAAATAAACTAGAGAGGGAGAGGGAGGGAGGAGAAAGAGGGAAAGGGGCTGGCCAGATGCTCAGGAGAAACAGTGCTGGCCACCGAAGCTGAAGGACCTCAGTTCAATCTCTGGAATCCATGTCAAGATGAGAGGAGAGAGCTGACTCCACGGTAGATATGTACCCCCATACATGTGTACCCCCCACACAGTGATAAAGAGGATATACATTAATCCAGCTGGCTCAATGCTTGACCAGAACCTGAGAGTCTGCCCTGTAAACACTGACCTGCAGAACCTTGCCTTGGGGCCCCTCATCAAAGAGCAAAGCTTGCTGGTACAAGGGATCGCAAGTCTTCTTGGCCACCTTTGTCTTTTTCTTGGCGACGCATGCCCCATTCTCCAGCAGGTAAGCCTTGATATAGGTGGCTGAAAATGAAGGAGAGCGGTTGGGAGGGGTGACATAGCCTGCGTAGTCTCCACCCTCCAGGTGGTCCTGGCGGGGAGTCCTCGAGCTGGCCAGTGACTCAGTCCCACAGACAGTGGATCTCTCTGCCCCACTCCTGACCTATCTTGCCCACAAGCCTTCTTCTGCTTTCGGCTGCTGGTGAGCTGAGGACTGACTAGTACCCCATCCCTGTCAGGATCCTTCCTCAGCTCTCCCAGCTTAGCCTCACCTGGGAGGGATTTGGAGCCTGGTTTGGGGGTCAGGCCCCGAGCTTCAATCACTTCTACCTCCAGCTGGCCACTCCGGTCCATGATGGCAATGTGCACATCTCCTGCAAGGAAAAAGAATGGACATCCAGGTGAGGTCAGATGGGGCAGGCTGGCAGGATGCATCAGAAAACATCAATCTGCAGGATGCTGCAATGTCCCCAGAAGGGAATATGAGAGAGCAAACTGCACATGTTGCAATGGCTCTCAGGAGACCACTTCAAAGGGACCGAGGAACACTGTGATACTCTGTGGGGGAATGACCTTCAAGGAGACATGCTTAGGTTATAACTAATGGCCGTCAAACTCTCAGCCATGTATGGTGGACGAGGGGTTTCTGCTTCACGATATGGAGCAGGCAAGTCTGGGGGGCAGAGTGTACACAGCAGCCCTCAGCCAGTCTCTTTAGTATATGGCAGACAGATACCAGAAGAACATCCATGCAAAGAGAAGCTAGCTATGAGCCTGCCAGCAAAGCGAGCTGGGCAGGCCTACACCCCGTGTGATGAGAGCTCACAACCCATTCCAAAAAAGGTAAAGGATTCAGTCATGCTGACTTCCAGGAACTCTCAGCTGTGCTCGTCGTGAGTGAGAAAAGTTTAGAATTATACAGTAGTGTTTGGAACTCCCTTCAGATAGGTGTAGAATTATAAACCTGACCTGAGTCCCCCTCCCTCCAATTAAATGGGTGAGACTTCGAGTTCCGTCAAGTATCATGTTATTACTGTACTTGCATACTTTGGGGGCAGGAATTCACCACAGTCAGAGACACCCTGAAAGTCGTCCTCACTCCAGTGGTTCCTGACCTCGGCAGAAGGGTCTCATGCCTAACCATGAATGTATACTTGTTTTTCCTGGTCTGCGACACAAGGGGGCACCACACACAAAATAGTCTGGGTTCTGATGGGTTTATTATTACGGCAGTGGCTGCCACTTCTCAGAGTGTAGGGAAGAGCCTGAGATACTGAGCAGGCTCCAGTCCCAAGGAAAAGTTTGGAATTAAGCAGATCCAATACATACCCAGGGCTGGAAACGAGTGGACCCTGACTCTCTGAGGGTCCTCTGGACCTCTCTTTCAAGGAAGAAAGGAGAGTACCATACAAAGAAGCCTGGCATAGAGTCCTAGCTCCATTTTCTGCATCTGTTCTGAGGGTCAAAGGTCAAGAACCAACAGAATGGGGCTGAGTAGAGACAGCTGATCAGGTAAAGCTCAGGTTAGACTGATGGGAAAGCCTCCCTGGCCAGGACCCGAAAACACAGGGTTGTGGGAAGTTTTGAAAGTTGCTAAGAGGACCCAGTGTGGGCTTTGTGCACTTCATAGCTGCCAGGAAGAGATGAGAAAATTACTAAAGGTCCCTATGTGCCCGGCACTGATGGGAGGAACCAGTTCAATTAGCCACGGTTCCTAAGGAGAGCGTTAAAATGCTTTCTATAAAGTATCCAACAGGAGTGCAAGAAGGGGTGTTGGATTGCAGAACTGAAGAAGGAATTACTGATTACATCTTCCAGATGAGGAAACAGAGGCTCAAGGAAGGCTAGAGAGGTAAATCAACATGGGCCAACACTGTGACCCTGTTCACACAGCAGGAGTGGGTGACTGCACTGAGGGATGGGACAGTCTGGAAAAGCTGCTGCTGGGTAGTGGTCCTTCCTGGCACCTGAGGAAGACACCTGCTGCTACTGCCTCTTTCACTGTTGCTGCTGCCAGCTCTACCACACACTGAGCCTCAGAGCTCCTCCTTTTACTGTGCCTCCCCCACCGAACAAAACGAACGTACCCTTCTTCGGCAAGACTTACCCATGGGGGGTGTGGCCAGTGTCTGTCGCCCCACAATCTGGGCTGGTCCCAGGCCATCCAGAAAGTCACTGAACTGGCTTTCGGCTCCAAGCCGTGTGGGAAAAATAAACCTGCAAAGGGACACAGAGGGCACGTGAGGTAGCAGGTGGGGGTGGGTGCAGAGGCCTTTCACCTGAGGTCTTGGGTCTCAGTTTCTCCTCTATACAGTGTAACTACAGTATTCTAAGTGGGAGTGAACAATTGTCATTTCTACACATTGAAGAAAAAATACTTTGGGTTGCACATTCCAGACTGTCCCACTGTGTACTTCTGGATGACCTAGAATTTACTATGAAGCTGGCCTCAGACTCATGGCAATCCTCCTGTCTTATCCTCATAAGTGCTTGGGTAATAGGTAGGTATCACAATGTCTGGCTTGGAGAAAGATACTTTGTCATCATTAAAGATAATAAAGATATTTAAAGTGTTTGAATCCTTAAGCCTCAGTTTTGGGGATTGTTGTTAGGTTTTTTGTTTGTTTTTTGAGACACGTTCTTGTGCATCCCCCAGCCTCATGATGTAGCCAAGGAAGCCCTTGAATTCCCAGTCACCTCCCCTCTACCTGGCGACTCTGGAATTGCAGGCATGCATGCCCCACCATGTTCAGCTTATTCACTGTGGCAGACGCTGAGCTCCGTGCATCCTAGATGAGCATGCTACCGATTGAGCTAAATCCCCGCCCAAGCCCCCGAGTTCTGAAGTGAGCCTCAGAAGGCGGGGCTTGCTGGACACATGCATCCTCACGAAAGCATGCTAGTGCCAAGAATGAGACTCTTAATGTCTGCAATGAGTTCCAAGAACTGAGATTTGCTTTTTTTTTCCCCTTTAACCAGAAACTTAAAATCCAAGTCAATAAAGTGAGGTGGTGCTCAAAATAACCCAAGGATAGTGCTGAGATGAATGACTGTGGGTGGTCTATGATTGGGGGGGGGGTCGTGGTAGTAACAAGAGAAACTGACAGTGACTGAAAGCTGGCCAGCTGCCAGCAGTGCACTGGGTGTTCCTCGTGGCATTAACTCTCACAACCAGTCTGTGTGGTGGGAACCATTATCCGATTTTACAGATGAAATAGACATTTCCAAGAGGGAAGAGTCTGGCCTTGTCCACAACAGAGATGACAGCACTCACTGGGGGCTGGGGGAAGACCGAGGCAGCTGGCACAGGGAAAAGTTCTGGACACTTGAGATAACACATGCCAACAGATCTTTGCTTCTGTTCTGTTGCTGCTGCTACTGCCTCCTCAGGCCTGGGGGTTCTGGGTATGGCCAACAGGACAGCCTCCTTAGGGGCCACAGTGAACCAGAATATGCCGATCTCCTAGTGACAGCCATGGAAGGTGAGCCAGAGAAGAATCCCTGTTGGACAATTTGGAGTGGAGACTCCACTGGTCAGTGACAGGCAGGGAACAATGGGTTTGTGGGACAGAACCTGTATTTCTCCTACAGGGCTTAGCATCCACCCCCAGGAAAAGGCTTCAAGGCATCTGCCTTCATTGGTCATGATCAACAATAGCTTAGTGTCACTTTTTCTGTGGACTGGGCGTGGAACTCATGTACTGTGTGTGTTGGGGGCCAGAGGTCATCACTGGGTATCTTCCCCAATAATCACTTCCTACTTCAGGTTTTAGATAGAATCTCCCATTGAACCTAGAGTTTGCAGATTTGGAGACTGGCTGCTAGCAAGCCCCAGGAATCCTCGTCTCTGTCCCCCAATAATGGGGTTATAAGCATGTGAACGACTCCATCCAGTCTTTTTACATGGGTGCTGGGGACCCACACTCAGCTTGTACAGCATACACTTTACCAAATGAACCATCTCTGCAGCCCTCTCATTTTTTGGTCTTCCTCTTCCCTCCTTTTCTCTACACATTCCTCTTTTTTTCGTTTGTTTGTTTGTTTTTGTTTTTTTCGAGACAGGGTTTTTCTGTGTAGCCCTGGCTGTCCTGGAACTCACTCTGTAGACCAGGCTGGCCTCGAACTCAGAAATCTGCCTGCCTCTGCCTCCCAGGTGATAGGATTAAAGGCATGTTCCAACACTGCCCAGGTCTCTTTCCCCCCCCCCCCCCATCCTCCCCTCCCCTCTTTTTTTATTCACACAATGTCTTTCGTAGCCCAGGCTGTTTGCGAACTCACTATGTATTTAAGTCTCTGACCTTAAACTCTTGGTCCTGCCTTCACCTCTCAAGTGCTGGATTTATAGGTGTGACCACCACACCCAGTCTTAGTGTCACATTCTTATGACAGTGAGACCTCAGAAGAAATAAAGAGATGTAGACTCAAAATCTCAGAACTGGGGTGTTAGTAATATACACTGTGGACATTGTGTGGAATCTAATGACCTTAGTGAAAACTTGGACACCACTTAAGAACTGGGCCTGTGGGTAAAAAGCCTCAGCCACTCAGGGACCTCAGTTTCCTCTCTTGCACATGGAGACACTGGTGTGTTGTATATTCATTAAGTGCAAGTGCAAGTGTTAAATGATCATAGCCCATGGCTTCCAGAGAGGGCGTCACTAGACTGAGGTACCTATCTTACTCTGTACAAGGTCTGCTGTACAAATAGTAATGGCTACTTATTTCCATGTGAGAAGGTACAGCTGGCCATCTGTCTCTATAGGCTCTGCATCTGTGATTCAATCAACCCCACACGGAGACTATGAAGGAAAATACTGTCTGTTACTGAGTATATACAGATTTTCTTATCCCTTAAACAGTACAGTCTAGGCTTGGAATTGGGGTGGACACCTATAATACCTTACCAGTCAATGCTCAGGATGCAGAGGCAAGAGGATTCTGGATTCTGAATTCAAGACCAGCATGACCTATACATATAGTGAGACTTGTCTAACAAGTATCTCTGCTGCGTTTAGCTTATGCTGAGAATTACACATGATCTAAGAGGATCTGGTGTATACGGATGTGTACAGGTTGTATGCAAACATTGTATCAGTGTATTTAAGAGATTCAAGAAGCTGTGGGTTTTAGAGCCGTGGGAGGTCTTGGAGCCAATCCCAAAGGGATGCCAAAGGCTCTGTACAGTAGTGAGAGACAATAACTGAATATTAAGTAAGCCACAGGATCCTGAGACTGAAAATTATAGGGGCCTGATGAAACAGAAGCGGAAAAATCTACAAACTCCAATTTAGAACAGATCTGTGGAGTGTCTGTCTAAGCAGTGACTTTCAAATGCTTACTGCAACTCGCATGAAAAAAAGAAAAAACAGAGCCTGCTAAGACCCTCGCCCACCACGGACCCACGTGCACCGTGGATAAAGAACTCACGCTTTCCAGGCCATCCACCCTTGCTACACAGGGGACGCCTGCAGTATCTATTTCTCTCTCTGGTGCTGCTTCTGACCCGCTACAGTGATTTCCTGCCTGTGAGTCACAAGGTAAGATGTGACAGTTTTAAAAACATGGATCTAGTCCAATTTTCTTCCCTATTCTCCAAGCAAGGTGATTTTTAAAGATTTCATACAACTAAGCCATGAAAATGGGTTTAGGCTTAGAAGGAATTTAGGGTCACAGTTTCCTTTCTGCCCATTTCCTCTGGAGCAGGGCGTAGGGTGGGTGATGGGAGGCAGGAGCCCCAAATTCCTTCTTGAAATAAAAGAACAAAATACTGTGCCCCAGGGACTCTGAGGTGTTCTGTCGGGAGCAATGGAAGACCTAGAACCCGGGGACCAGACATCCAGGAGAAGGGACAAGGGCAGCTGGAGCAGGAAGGGATGCAGATATTTTGGCTGGAAAGCAAACTGGCAGGTGCACGCACGTGCCCTCGGAGCTGTTGCTGTTGGTACTCCCGTCGGTAGACTCCCGGCTGCCCTGGCGGGTCACACGGCTCCGCATCTCCACAGCAATGCCGGTCTCTGTGCTCCGTCGGACGTTGCTTCGAGGCTTCTTAGTGGCCCCTTCTAGGGTCCCCATCCCAAGGAGAGAGAGGGAAAAAGGTCAAAACACGGCCTAGGCTTCTCCAAGAGTGCTACCAAAGAGATTCTCTGAACAGAGGCAGGTGGGGATCTGCCAAGGCTGGGACACTACTGAGATGACCCCACAGCTGCCCAGGGACATGCTGTGTGCCCCAATAGAAACGCAAATGGAAGTAAAGAGCCCTGTAAGTCTTGGGGCCCTCACCATCCACTAGGCTCCCCCCTCTACCTTCCTACTCTGTTTCATCCTGAACCCCCAAACTTAAAAATTGCTTCTTCCTCTCACTTCTGGAAAGTTTGTTTGTTCTAGGATTTCCAGATTTACTTTTCCTCTTCTAGATATCCTTCCAGACCCCAACCTCCCTCTCTGCTGCTCCACTACAAGTCTGGCCATTTGACACTTGTCTTCTCGAGGTAAGTCTGAAGTAGGGAGATGCATGAATGTCAGGTCAGAGACTCCTGGAGGGGTGGGGTAGCTAGCTTGACCAGGACTGATGTTGGATTTGAGAAGGTCTATAGCAGAACCACCCCTTATCCTGTCACTGTAGCTTCTGTTCAGGGGCCCCAGCCCCCTCCTCAGGCTGGCAGGAAATACAGGGCACTTTCCCTCTCTGAGTAGCACACCAGCCTGCCTGGGTTTCCATGGCAACCTCCTTAGCATTGCAGTGTGGTCCCTCTAGACAGCTCTCCTCCAGGGCGGGCGGGGGTGGGGTTGGGGGAAGACAGGCTGGGGTTTTGCAGGGACTCCCCTGCTAAAGCTTCATTGCTAAGCAACTTGACAGGGAGGGAAGTGGCACTCAGATAGGACTACACCAAAGGGGCCATTTGCTGCCACCAGTTACAGGCCCAAGAAAACTGTTAATGGAGTGGCCAGCAAGAGTGCCTAGGACACAGTAGTAGCACATATATCCCTGAAGGCAGCCAATGGTGAACTGGAGAGGAATGTTCATGCCCCCAGCTTAGGAAAGGGACGCCTCTATTCCTCCCATTTTGCCCCATTTACCCTTCAGGAAGTCCCCACAGAATGAGAGAAAGCCAAAGGGGCAAATTCTAGCAGATAGGGTGGTGGAGGGGAGACAATGGGGACAGGGGACAGTATGCTGAGGGATGTATCTTCTAGACTCAGTGTAGCCTATCTAATCTAGATAGCTAGAATAGCTAGCACCCAGGAATCATTGTCTCACACGTGTGTGTGCACGTGCACACACACACGGTCACTTTAGCTTGGACATATTTCTCTTACACGTGAATAAGACAGACACACAGGAGTACTGACTATCACATATGTGACTATAATAACTTCATGTATGATATCATGTGTCTGTATACACAGTCACGCAAGTTGTATATATGTGATCTTTAATATCTAGAATTGAGCCCATCTGCTCACCACACATAATGATGTACACTCACCCATGTCGTGTGTGACCTACCATGGGACTCTTCTCTGTCCCTGACTCCTAACTGCCGAATCCCCTCTAACTCAGAAGACAGATGGCCGTGGGGGCTGAAAGTCACCCTGCCTCCCCCTCACATCCTCACCCCCTCAACACGAGCTCTTTTGGAGCCTGGGAAAGCTCTGACCCATTTGGAAGTGAAATTACCGTCTTAGATAAGACTTGCCCAACCCAGTGTGAACACCCGTGAGTGGGGGACTTCTGAAGGGTCAGAGATAAGTACTTCTCTAGGACCCATCATTTCACTAATGAGGAGCCTGGGGTTCTGATGCCAAAGAGCTGGAGCTAGCCAGGAGGTCCTCAGACTGCCTGCCTGCTGACATGCTCCCCCCCTTTCCCAATGCTTCCTCTCTTGGAGGTGTGACTCAGCAGAGATTAAACTCCTGCTTCTTCAGTTTGAGGGGGAAAGGTCTTGCAAACTCAGAGAGAAATCCTCCCACTGGCTTTGTTCCTGTTTAGCCTAGGCCCCTGCAGAACCAGGGAATAAGTATGGTGCTTCCCTCTAGAAAATCAGACCAAATGGTTGCAATAATTCAGTGTTCTCTGGAGAAAGCTTCCAGGAGCCATTCTCTCTGTGACATCACATACAAAAGAGGGACAGCCATGGCCTGTAGCTATACTCTTTGGCATCTTCCAGAAGTCCCAAGCGCCTGACTCAGCCAGCTCAGGAAGGAGGGGCTCTGTCCTTGGTACTGGACATTTAGCAAGAGGTTGCTTCAGCCCATCGTGACCCCCCCTCTGTGGATTCAGCTTAATGCCGGGACAGATTGTACATAGGTCCTAGGATCCCAAAACTCCTCACCCTTCACTGCTCTCATAATTCAGAGAACTGATAGACCTCAAAGGAGGCTGAGAGAGGGCATCGTTAGCGCCATTTTGCTGAAGAGGAAACAGCTCTGACTGGAAAGTGACTTTCCAACGGTTCCACAGAAAGCTATGGAGCCAGAGCTAGCCCTCTAAAGCACAGGGTGAGATTTTAGAGATCTGCATTAAGAAAGCATAGTGATAAACTAGAAGAGGGCAGACAGGAGGGGCTGGTGTTACAGACTAGACATGGCACCATGTGAACTGGGGCAAAGGAACAAAGAAGATCAGGCAGGGCTACAGCCAGCACAGGCTACTCATGACCTGGGAGGGTAGAGTTCTTGCAAGAGAAGATCCAGAGCCCCAAAGGGTAGGCCCAGGAAAAGAATTCTTCCTGATTCCTCATAGCCAAGTTCTACAGGGAATCAAGCCTTCTACTTGAGTCAACAGGTGTGCTCTTCTGGGATCTATTCCCAGAGCAGTAATCACTGGGTCAATATCTATGGTGGGGTACTTGTCTGATTCTCCTACCCAGGAGGATGCTCCAAACTGAAGCACTGGCATACTCAAAGCTTGTACATGCATTCATGCATGTGTATGGATGTGTACACAGACACACAGATACAGAGAGAGAGAGAGAGAGAGAGAGAGAGAGAGAGAGAGAGAGAGAGAGGGAGGGAGGG